CATGATACGCTTTGTACGTGGCACCTGGTGGGGAGCTTCACCCGAAACTCTACTTACCTTTTACAAAAGCTTTATACGTTCTATTATCGATTATACTTGTTTTATTTATTACCCTTATAACTTCAATCTTAAAAATAAACTAGAAAAAATTCCATTTGCTGCTATCAGACTTTCCTTAGGCTACCGCAATAGCACTCCCACGAACATCCTACTAGAAGAATTCAAAATTATGTCAATTAAATGCCGAATATAATTTTTATGCAATTTTTATCTAGCCAAAATCTCTTGCAACTCATCTTGTGAAACTTTCTCATGCTTATCCAAATTCAACGATTCTCATAGTAACTCTCGCTTTAAAAGTCTCTTCTGCACTTGCATATTTTCCTTTTCTGCCTTAAATTACCCTATCTACTCCAATTCGCGTTTCAATATTTATAACTATGATTTTCACTCCACAATTCCGCGTACTCCTACAGATAATTACTTTGGTGGAGATCTTAAGTTGTCTCCTTCCCCGAATCTTTTAATCTCAGACTTGATTCATGCACTGGATCCTATTCCTATCTTTACAGATGGGAGTGAGTCCTCCGACTTACCTTGCGTCGGTTCAGCAGTCTTCTGCCCTACACTTGACTATCATCACGCCTTCAGTCTTCCACGTTTTGCTTCCATTTTTTCTGCCGAATCAGCGGCTATATCTGCGGCTTTTGACTTTATACTTTCTATTCCCCATTGTAATTTCATTATATTCAGTGACTCACTTAGCGTCATTACCTGTCTTTCATCTTCCTCGCACAATATCAAAACAAACCCTTATATATTTGACGTTAAAAGTAAATACTCCACTTTTATTACAAAATTTCCAAACAAATTTGTTAAAATATTTTGGATACCTTCTCACTCTCAAATCTACCACAACGACCACGTGGACATGCTTGCTAAATCTGTCACTTCTTTACCCGCTTCTGTTGTTTCAACTGTCAATTACACGGATTTATTCCAATATTTCTATCGCGATTGTTATGACAGATCTACATCAAAAAATACCATCGACGGTCGGCATAAGGGCAAAATATACTTTAAATTTTTTCGCTCTCCTCGAAAAAAACCATGGTTTTATGGGACAAGCCTCTCTCGAGCGTTTATAGTCACTATAAATAGAATGCGTGCTAATCATCATAGCTTGGCTGAAAGTCTTTTCAGGAAAAACATTATTAATGACCCTTAGTGTAACTGCGGGTATGAGGATCAAAACCTCAACCATGTGATCTGGAATTGTGATTTCTATGCCAATCAAGGACTTACTCTAATGAGTAACCTTAAAAAAATGAATATCCATCCACCATTGAAAATCGAGTGCCTTATTTCAAATCCCAACATTCAAGCGTGCTTAATCATATTCAAAATTTTAAATTCATGTAATCTGACTACATAAGCTGTGTGCAAATTTAGCAACCTGAACATATTATAAGTGTATTAAATGTAGTATTATAGTATTATTGTATTATTGTATTATATGCGTTCTCACAAGTATTGTTTCTGTGTTCTTTTTACTTCTATCTACTGGTTTTAAGTTAAGCGTCTGATACATGTAATTCTATTTTCTATGTAATGTGAAAGTTGCGTTCTAGTCCTAGGCATAGTCTTAAGATTACTTCACTTTACTAAGTGTATTTCATGTATATTTTATGCTAATTATTTCATTCTGTATATTAATTTGTTGAATAAATGAGTGTTCATACCTCAAACGACGTCAGAACATAAAAAAAAAAAACTACACATCGGTAGTTACAGCTCGAGCTCGGAGGTTAGAACGTATACCTTCCAAGCGCTAGCTCAGACAACCCCCTCCCTAGACCTTAACAGTACAGCGTTGTTTTGAATTGTACGAGTCCAAAGTTGGGATAGCTGCGAGCAGACAGCTGTAATGTATGCGTTTAATGCGTGTTTGTACTCTCTTAAGCTGGACCCCTGTACTCTCATGGTACAAATTTTTTTTGCGTGTAGTACATCGCTAACCTATACTTAAAATTTCAGGAGGGGGTACCTATGGTTTTTTCAATAAGAATGATCCCACCCAAGTTTTTATTATATATATTTATCTGATAAATATAATTTTAATGATAGATTGAAGTAAAATTTGTACAGCACATATATTCACAATTTTTGTAACCGTATTTATGAATGTTCATTTTTTATCATGTTTTTTACCTCATATAAAATTGCAAAGATCTCTTACAACTTTTTCATGAATGCCACAGTTTTTGGGAAAAAATCGCAATCTAAGAAAAAATGACCGTGGGTGTGGAAACAGGATTTATAAATAACTTGTTGCTTATGTAATATAAAGTAAACTTAATTTTGTAACGAAACAAGAGTTCGAGCTACTTGTACATCGTTTCTATTGTTTTTCTAGCTGTAAACAATACTTTTGGTCAGTATTCCTTGACTGTACGTTAAATAATTGATATAGATAGGCGATTGATTGTGTATAAGTCATTATTTCTGACGTGACACTATTTTTTTCTATTTGGTTTTAAGGAGGTACAAGAAGTATAAAAATTAAAAATAGATATAAACTTTTTTCTTATTTTTTACTCACTAGCGTATATATGTATTGATAGAAAACTTCGCATTTTCCGAGCTTGGTGGCCTTTGTTTACCTCAAAAATGCAAGTAGGTTGTAAAAGTGAGAAATTACAATGATATTTCTTGTTTTTAAGGTTGAATAAGTTAATGAAAAACATGTTATGGCCAGGAATTTTTTTCTTACTTTTTACACTTAGAATCATACATTTACCCATTGACAGAATACTCTGTGTTTTCTAAGCCTGGTGGCCTTCATTAGTTAGCTTGGAGAACTTAGGGGTTGATGTAAAATAAACAAATTTTCTTTAGTTCTAAGGAGGCACTTGAGGTGTAAAAAAAGATAAGAATTTTTTTTCTTATTTTTTACTTACACGCGCTCGTACGTATTAGCGCAAAATTCCGTATTTTCAAAGTCTGACGGCCTTTGTTGGATTTAAAAGTGCATAAAGGCTGTGAGGGTAAAAAATTACAGTGATATTTATTGTTTCTAAAGTTGGAGTATTAAGGATTATAAGATTAGGGTGATAAAGATTATTTGTAATAATCATTAAAACTTTACATTTACAATTTTACAGCTTTGTATTTTCAAACCTTGATTAATTTAACATTTGTGACCGTGTCACTGAGGCCGTATTAATCAATTGTTTGGTATTGACTGTAGTGAATTGTATTGTGGGGATGGCGTGGTTGAGCTTTAACAGCTCAGAACAATGACTTGGATACGGTCAGTGAATAATTGCTCTTCGTGCACCCAAGAACATTAAAGAGTACACGAACCAGCAGTAACAAAGGAACACGAACTTTAATTTAAATAAGAAAGTAACAAATTGTTTATTTACAGACTATTTTACAATTGTTAAAGTATTGAGCGTCAAGCCTCCTTACATGTTACTGATATAAAACTATTTTGAAGAGCAACTGCAGAACTAGATGTATGTATGTATATTAAGAAGTCAACATATGTATGTTAAGTTATTACAAAGCAATATAAAAAATGAAAAAAGAAGTTCAGAAAAGATAAACAAAAAAGATAAGAATAGTAATTCAAAAAACCATAAAGCTATTCAGAATTAAAGATAAGAACTTAGTCTCCACCTACCGCTAGTGCGTTTAATTTCATATGATCAGATATCTGGTTTAATAAAAAATCAACTATTGTGCTACATTTTACACCTGGCGTAACCAAAAATTTGATTTTTGTCAGTGCCATTACAAATAAAGTATATAATGCTCTTAAATAGTTTTAAGTATACAATTCTGAACAAAAATAATAATACCATCATATATGCCAAATTGATAAAAATGGCATTTTTAGTTTCAATTTGATTATGGACAGTTAAAGAAAAATAACTATAAATCTCTGTATGTCGGTACCTCAAAATCAAAGAATTGAGATCAGACAATGATCATGAATATATAATTAAAGTTGAATGGCTTTTTCAAGACCAAGCTGGTATATAAATCACGATACAAGGATTGCTTACAATAAAATAAAAGAGTTAATCAAAATAATATTATCTTATACAAAAGTTCGAGATTTATGTAAGTTGACTCTCTGTTTGGTCAAGAATTTCGGGCTAAGGAAGTCCCTACAGCTCCATGTTCAAATAAGCGATATCTAAAGGTTTTCTATTGAGAAATTACACCTGAATAAGCCTGGAGTGGAATAAAACCCAATCTCTGCAATCTATGCGTTTTCGTCTTTTAAGCTTTCTTACTTGTAATACAACATCTAAGAGGTAAACTTGACTCAAAGGTCATGAGTTGCTTTCTACTGGGTTACTGTTCATACTAAAGAAGTACAGATTGTGAAATCCGAAAAGTAACATTCACAGCCAGAGTTGTTTCATTTATTGAGGATTCCTTAACGTGACTCCAAAAACAAACTTTAATGCCTTTTTGATGACATCCCTTTGGTAAAAACTTTAAATTTGGATTCGGTTCTAGAGGTGGCAGAACCTGAAGACAAGATGGAACATTCAGAAGACAAATTCCAAGATACTTATGAATACTGGGATACTACAACTCTAAGAAGATTGACTCAATGGGAAAAAGATTCAAAAGATTTAATGATTTTATACTGCACGCAATCACTTTTAAGTTAAACAAGACTCAGACCTTTCATTAATCACTTGAAAGCGCCGAAAGAGAACAGTAGATAGAAGAAAATAAGGCTGCAAACTTTTCAACTATTCAGAATAAAACATGGGAACTGTACGTCTTACACTAGAATGTTGTTGTAAAAAAGAATTTAATTAACAGAAATTCTTAGCGTTCGAGCTAAAAAAGTCAGAACAACGTAGTATAATGTATAAGTTCCTCTATCTTTAATATTTTTAGAACTAATGAGACCAATACATCGAGTGAAAGATATAAAAAGGTAAAATAAAAATAATATTAACAGAGCAGACCTTCTTTGAATAAGATCCTCCATCTGGTGATAGTCACACTCTTCAGCATCTCGTAAGTGCTCATTCTCGATCTGCCAGGCGATCTCTACGGGGTTATGGTTACTTCTTTCGGAAATGCTTCTGACCCGGCATGGTGGAGGTGATACCGGCGGAGTTCTGGGAGGACTGAGGAGGCCACAGTAGCTCTCGAGTTCATCGGTGATACTTGTGTACTCAGCACGCATAGCCAATAAAAGTGAGCGAGAGTTGTTCGAGCCCGATGACTGTATGACGGAAACCCGAGGCTCAGCCCACGTAACGCCTCGCTGAAAACTTGTTGAAGGCACCACCATCCCTGAGACGCTGGCAGCAATAGAGGCTACGGCTGCAGCTGCATCATCAGCCAGGGACTCTGAACGCGTGCGACTGTTTTGCTGGCTGGACTTTTCTGCCGAGTCTTGCCGTGAGCCCGAAGTCATTGTCACGTCACCTGAAGTGTCTCGCTCATCTGACTTTTCAGCTTTGCATTCTTTTAGCTACAAACAATACATCGATTATTAGGTTATTGTTGATTTATCGTAATTTAATATTGTAATTTACCGTGAACGAGTAAAGAGAAAAAACTAACGTACAGCTGAATTACGAAGTATCACAGACTAGTTTTTGAGCAAAATTTTTGAAATTTCAGTTTCTGTGTTCTTTTTTTGTGAATTACCTTAAATTTACTAAGCCAGTTAAAATTCTTCAAAAAACAAAGATATATCTATGTTCTAAACAATAAATCTATCTATATTCTATTAAAAGAAGTATAAAAAAATGTAGAAATTAATTTTCACTCAAAATTACTAGTCATTTTTTTTTAAACTTAAAATCATAGTGAAAAATATAAGTCGTAGAAATTTGGTATATTACTCACCTAGGGAGGGAAAATAAAGAATGTCTCAGATTGCCGGCAATTGACATTGATAAGCATACGATCTGAGGGATTCTTTGTTTCCTCCTGTGGGTTGTATACGATTTTTCACCAATCCTGCGCCGGGGCCCTATCCTCTAAGCGTGTCGGTGGGTAACACAACGGATACCATGCCAACACGGTCAATTTTGACCAATCAGAGAGCTCCTTTAGCTGTGCATTGGTTATGTCGCCTGCCAACACGTTTAGAGGATAGGGCCCCGGGAGAAGAAATTTTCGTTCCGCGAAGTGGGACGAAAGTTCCTTCTTCCTGCACAGTGGTGAAATATAAATTTTTCACAATACTGTGCCGAAAGTAGGAACTATCGTCCCGTGAAGCGAACCGAAAATTCCATCTCTTGGCGCAGGATTGATGAAAAACAGAATACGCACCACGTTCGTAGGTTAAGAAATGCATTGAGTAAATTTCACGTTAACCACCCTCGGTTTCGCCTCGAGCGTTTAATCACATGAAATCTAAGACATTCTTAACCTCGCTCACTAGGTGCGGAATATACTAATTTGGACCGTGCGCCAGTTTGAAAGAGCGTCACCACTGGCGATAGTCGGAGTTACTCTTAGCTGGACCGAAAATAATGCACGGAAGTGACAATTTTTCTTTATCAATTTAATGTTACAAATCTATCGAATTAGACGACGTTTATAGAAGTAATGATGAATTTTTCATTATCTAATTTTTTGTTTTTTTCCATACGCTTCGAGGTTATATAATTTGTAAGATTAAATTATTAATGATAAACTGTCACTTCCATGCATTATTTCCGGTCCAGTGACTCCGAATGTCACCAGTGGTCGCGCTCTTACAAACTGTTGCACGGTCCGAATTCTTCAGAGACACTATAACAACATTAACGAACAGAGAAACGGAATTTTTTTCTAATTGATGTAAGGGAATTTTATACTATAATACGTGTTTTTTTACATTCTTTTAGTAAATATTTATTTTTAACTTATTTTTATTTAATAACGCACTTCTAGCACGTTAAGGTATATATATTATTTTCCGCCTTCTAACCTCAAAATAGCACCTTCGCCGCTTGATTTTGAGTTCTCAGGCGGAAAAATATTATACGAAACTCGTTCGAAAAGGCTTCTTTACGAACCTTATTACGGCCCTCGCCTTCGGCTCGTGCCGTAAACCTCTCGGTTCGTAAATCGAAGCCTTTGCAAACTCGTACGTAATGTACTATTTATTGTGTAAAATATGGTTTGATGCTGGGTGCACACACAACTGGGACAAGTAGGAAAGTCACTCAAACCTAGTAAAGGGAGCAGAGAAGATGCGGACCAGTACAAAATCTTTTATTTTAGCATTTGTTACTTATCGATAAACTTTTTTCTTAGTCCTTATCGTTGAACAAAACTGTTTAGTATTCTATTTAGTACGAGTACTACCAAGTTACATGGTTCACTGTTATTATGATCAGTGCTAATGCCCAACTAGTCAATGTAATTTGAGTAATATTTATAAACGTCAATTTGTATCAAACTATATCGAGAGTAACATTAAAGTCTTAGTCTTATTTATTTAATATCTTTATCATAATATCATTAACTCACTTCGCCAACGACTTTGCTCACATCGCTTTCCTCGTGACTCGTATTCTCTTGAGACTCATCTTGCAGTGTATGGAGATCATTGCTGACCGATGAGTCGTTTCTACTGAGATTCTCTCTAGTCACAGCAACGGCTTCTGCAGCGTGCTTTAGAGCTGTGGTCACGTCATGCTCGAGTGACTGGTGCGAGTGCTGCTGGTACTGCTGTTGCTGAGCCGCCAAGTTAAGGTAGGCTGCATCAGTAATGGCGCGCAGAAGTTTTTTGCGCCTTTGTGGGATCGATGGAAACTGAGAGTGTGACTCTGTCTCGGATAAATATGCCTCGGAGCGTTCAGACACACGCCTTGGCCGTATGATACTGTCAACGTCCAGGTGGCGAATAGCCTCGGTGCTGCTGCTGTTCTCATTAAGTGGACCACCACTTCCACCACTTCCAGCACCACCGCTAGAACTTGGTATGTACGTTGCCATAAAACGGTGTATCACACCCAAGTGCGCCAGAGTTTGCTCGTTAAGCTCTTCGAGCTTTCGGATGCGAAACTCTACTGTCTGCAATTAAAAGGAAGAAATTTTTTGATAAGCAGAGTACAGTTATTTGTATATGAGGAAGAAAAACTAATTTGTTACTTTTTTCAAATTAAGGAATCATTTGTGAAAATGAGATACCTGAAGAGAAGTGGTCTGGTTGCTTTCTTTTTTTTCAATGTCCTCAATTTTCTGGTTCATATTCTCGACGCGCTCAGTAGTAAGTTTAATTCTCTCTTCAGTCGACATCTGAAGCTTGAGCTCTTGCTCACGAAAATAGCCCTCGACACAGTCTTCCTCAAAATCATATAACCGCTCTTTATCATCAGCTTCAAGAAAAAGCTTGAGGCCGTTATCACAGGTTTCCCCAGATTGCATACGGCCTTGTGTGATGTACCTAGATACGACAGTCACAAATTCATTTGTTTTGACTTTAATATACTTGTATAAGCGTGAGTAAAAATAGTTTTTGCATGATATTATTCAATTACCTCAGTAAGTATCTAAGCACCAAATAAATATGGGAAATTAATATAAAGGGTGGTGGAAGTACGGGCTTTTGCTCGTACTCCATGACTACAGTGAAACGCTGGAACATCCATACTTGATGAGCAATCGCGTTAACTTCGATAAAAATGTTATTGAACACTGCTATTAGCAGATTAATAAGGAGGATATTGGCCACCAATAGGTAGATGGCCATGGCAAAAGGTGTAATCCAACGTCCAGGAACGCAGGGGGCCATGCCCGGATTCTGTCCACAATCAGGATCGATACGATCTGCGTATACCTCACCATACAGCATGAAGTATGGCTCCATAAACACCTAAATTTGTACACGTTAAACACTTATTAGCTTATAATTATACAAACTTTATCTGTCAGGTAACATGGTTTGAATTTCAATGATATATATACAATAAGTGCAATTTTGTACATCGCTTTTTTTCATCGATGTTCCATAGGTATTTCATTACAGAGAAAAAGGTATTTGTCATCGTTCAAATTTGATGTATTTAGTTTGGTTAGTATTTGATCTTCAGCTTATGCGAAGCAGTAAAGATTGATAAATAAATTTATTTCAAAATTTTGAAGTTTAAGTGGTACTACAGGGAAATTATATTGACCGTATCTTTTTTTTGTACCCATATACACTATAAACGTCTCGAAACGTATAATGTTCTAAGAAGTTTTAAATGATGCAATGGAGACACCAGTAGAGTTTAATATCCGAAAAATAATTTTTTTTTACTTTACGTCATTACACCATGTTAAGTCAGTTTAAATACGAAGGAAAAATTCATGATAAAGATAATCAAAGTAAGATACGTTTTTAATAGAAGCAATTTGGTGTGTTCGCAGGGTTTTTCGTTTTATTATTTATTTTTTCGGGGCCTTTATTCTCATATTTAAGTTTAATAGTTTTTAAAATTACTCTCTGCAATTTCGAGCTCAAGGGTGCTTATTTTATCTCTTTTCCAATATTCCTTTATTTTACTGTTTTCTTTATTTCTATTCTCTTCACCTACTTCAGCGAATCCAAGATTTATCTAAGTCGATTTGTAGAGGACTCAAGGTGGCTTGGGTGATTTTTACTAGAATGATAAAAAACTCTGAAATTTTCAAATCATGTAAATAAAGTGTGCCTAATTAGTTTGCAATAAAAAAGTACTCAGATCAACCACTTTATTTTTCAAAAAGTCGTTACTGAAAACTCACCAAATTAAAACGCAGTGTCATGGGATTTATCACTAAAAAGACTATAACTCTAAAAGTAAATGACAAACCTCTACAAATAAAAATGTTATTTACATCTTTCTCTTAATATAAGCAATATTTTCGAATTGTGAAAATTATATGTAAGCCACTTATATTTTAAGAAAATGAATAGAAAAGTGATTTACCGTCTTCAGTGCATGCACAGGTGAAAATGATGAGTTTTATTATTCTTTTGATCCTTATTCCATAAATTTTTAGGCCAATAAAACTTTTAAAATTGACTTTGTGATTTGGATATTTAATTATCATGAAATTTTACAAAAAATATTATTTATAATCCATAGAATCTTAAAGAGCTCCTAGCTTGGTACGGCACTAAATGCCCAAGCCACCTTATTAATGAGGCACTCCATGAAGTAGATCAATATTTATAAAAAAAACTTCCACTAAAATCTATGATACTAAGTAATAAACTAAGTGAACATAAGACAAAAATGACCATTATAACTGTTCTCTTTTAGTTGTTCACGTGTATAGTTTATTTAAAGGAAGTAAATAGAAATCTAGATACGAATCTAGTTTCAAAAAAAAATTTTTGTAACTTAAAAAATGCTAAAGTTTTTCTCTTTGATTATAAAAGCAATTTCTTTATCAATTACAATCACATGTAAACGGGGTTTTTTATTTTTTGCATTTTTTATAATTTTTAATTTCGATAAATTGATAAGTACGTGAGATTGTTACGTGCGAAGTGTATAAAGTTAGAGACGATGGGGTTGATTACTTCCAAAAATCATTTGTGCATTTTAAAACACATGAATAAATTTTAAATAGTTTTTGAAGCTTGGGGACCATTTTAAACTTTATAATTTGCAGAAAAATTTTTACTATTTCATGATAAAAAAAGCATTTTAAAACAAGTACAAAAAAGATAACTTAAAGTAAACTATGATCATAAAAAGTTTTAATGTAACTTTTATAAAGTAGCGATACAGAAAACCGACTCATGTGATTCCCACTAATATAAATATGGGTTATGCACCATATAGTCTGAATAACCATTAAGTTCTTTAAAAAATCACTAACCGTAAGTTAGCTAAGTTAGTATACTTTTTACGGTCTATTAGTAACAAGCCTGTCCCATGATAATTCTTTCTATGTAATTCAAAAAATGAAAAAAAATTCATTTTTTTCCTAAGTAAAAAAAGGTTATACATCTCTTATAATTTTCCAACTTGGTTCATGTCCTGGAGTGTGTATAGCTTGTCGGGCGACGCCAAAACTCATTAATACTACGAGTAACAGCACCACAAAGTATATCATATTTTTCACCATTTTTCCCATCATGTTAACCAATGGACCTAAAAAAATTCCATATTTTAAGGTAATCATACATGTTCTACGTTTGAATTAAACATAAAAATCTTTACAAAAGCAGTCAAGAGTTTGATAAAATGGGATTAGCTTAGTAAATATTACAGGTGAGATAAGCATAATTTAACAAAATTTTCATAACATAATAACTATATTGATTTACGTACAAAGGCAGTACATTGCAAAAAAATGCTCTCCAGTGAAAGTATAGTGTAAGATAGTAGTTTTGTGGAAGCATATGAAAAAAATTGAGTACCAGAAGAGAGTGAAAAGATTAGAAAAAATCCCTTCTCTCGGCATAGGATTGATGAAAAATCGTATATAACCCGTACACGGGAGGAAACAAAGAATCCCTCAGATCGCATGCTTATCAATGTCAATTACCTGCAATCTGAGACATTCTTTATTTTCCCTCCCTAGGTGAGTAATATACTATTGTGCCATAGGTTAGAATAGTATTTTGGGCTTGAAGGGAAATTTACTTTTCTGTCCGTTGGCGCAAAGTGATTGCGAGGGTGTAAAAAGTGGCCCTAGCGCAAAAAGCGGTAGTTGCACTCAGCACCCTAGATAAGAAAAATCACTTTGCGCCCTAGTGATGTAACGTATATTATTATAGTAGTTTTCGTATTTGGTGGCGCATATTACCAGGGCAAGCACTAGGCCCTCGGGATTTGAGAAGAAGGGCTCGAAGAACTCCTTGTGCTTGCCCTGGTTGGATGCGCAGCCGATGAAAACTCTTTTTTTTCTACTGACAGTGCAGTAGACTTACAAAGGTTAAAATAGCCCAAAGGAAGAATAATTACTTCAGACTTTTAACTAAAATTAACAATTATCTCTTTAAGTATTTGATAGTTTCACGTTACAATATTTTAACCAATGAGGCTTAATTACTGAAATGCGATGTAAGAATTTTCATTCATGTTTCTTAAGATTAACAAGTTACAATATCTTCACCCCTATGCTATGGGACAGTTTATCTAATTTACTAATAGCAGATATTCTGAATATTGAAAATAAAAAATTTTTGATGAAAAAATCTAATATTGTTTATTGGTCCAATTAGAAAAGAATGACAAAATATTTAATGTATGTTGAAACGAAAAACATGAAAATTTAATATTAGACATTTGTGTCAATACATTTATTATCTACAAAGTATTCGATTTTTACTACTCTCCTTAAGTGATACATTCTTATCAGGTAATGCAATCAATAATGTATAAAAAGTTGTTATGGTGAGTTTAATAAGTAGAAATAGTTTGTTTAATATTGCATTCAAAATCGTATCCACCCAATGGATTTAAATTTCAACTCCGTAAGATTATCACGTACGTAGGTTGTGTAACAACTTATAATATTAACAATACGTTTGTTAAAGTTTCCAGAGTTAAAAATGTTTGTAATGCTTTAATACAGTTAGGAAGCTTAGTGTCTGATACCTCTGGCAACATGCGTATGGTATAGTTACATACAATTCAAACTAGCAAAAAGAGAACATTAGAAAGATGTATACTACTAGTATGTACCTACGTATTATACATTACACAGTATATAAATTACATAAAAAAAGCTTTTTTACTGAATAGCATGATTGTTTCATGAATTAATTAAATCAAGCAAGATAAGTGGTGTAGAAAGCAGTTATCATGATGATTAAAATTTACCAAGATACTTGTTGACTCCAAGAATGTTGAGCATCCTGAGGTACCAGTACATGCAGTCAACACAATAAATTGTTCGTCCGACATCAAACGTTGAAGGTCTGACCCTGAGCACAAGGCCGATGATAAAGAATATAATGGCTGCAGCATCGCAAGGGTTCCACATATTCCAAGCCCAGACACTAAACTTGTGTGAGAGTGCCACGGGCTCGGAAGTTGCTATCTCTCGAACCTTTTCGCAGCCCATCGTCAGGATGTAAGCTATTGAGTATATCTCAGGCCATGAGGGTACGTCGTCCATACGCACAAGAATAGAGTACGAGAATAGCAGCAAGAAGATCACGTACGCTATCTGTTAGGTTAAACAATCGCTGTTACAATAGTATATTTACTGTTGCTATTTATTATTGGCTGTTTTTTTAGTTTCTTAAAAAAGACTATCGTAAACTATTTTTTCATTCCAAACCAGTACAGTGTTAATTTGTAGACTACTTTTTCTCACACACTAATTTTTATAATACTCGTTCTTGTTATCTATTAAGTGATAAATATTTTGTCTCCAATGTTGAGAATATTTTTAACTTTATTGATGAAAATACTGTCACCCTTTATTACGAAGTCAACTACTTTCAAAAATAAAAAATGATAATGAAGAAAATTTTTAAACGCAATTAAATTAATGATTCGTACTTCAGCTTATTTTTTAGAAACTCAAATTTAACTGTTCAACTCGTAATTATTCAACCTGACTACTTTTAGTACAGAAAATATAGAAAAAATCCTGGAATCCTATTTAATTAAATTTTCGGGTCTACATAGCATTAAAAAAATCTTGGAGAGACATTCAGGCTTCTATCAATTAGGCCTTTATTTCAACCCTGGAATGGTACTTTTTGTTACAGTCAGATATAGTCCCGACTGGATGCGCAACCTTAACGAACGCTATTTTTCCCACCAATGGCGCAGTAAATGTCCAAACGTTTAAAAAATGCCCAAGTAACGGAAAATCTTTTTTTTATTTACTCTTAGTATTCCAATCTTAGCATAAAAAACTAAGATCAAAGGACTTTTATTTTTATAAATTAAAAGGTAATATATATTTGCTCTCACTTTTAAAGTTTAAAAAAATTCAGCGGCTCCATACGATAATAAAAACGTAGTTCACGATATTTCTTGTTTTCTTTTTTCTTGCACTTAACTTATGCTTTGTGTCTCCCAAGCCTCAGCAAGTACCACGAGGGGTGAAAGTACTAAGTATTCTGGACAGGATAAATAATACAGTCGATTGCTTTGATAAATGTTTAGGCCTAGAAAAGATTTGGTTAGGTACAGTTGTAATTCTTAATATTCTTTATTACCCCGTATCAAGCGGGTAAGTGCAAAGGAGGTAATGTAATTCACTGTAGTATCGCCAAAAAATCTTCTGATGGTTAAATAAAGTGTTTTGCATTGTGCTTACAAATTTCAGCAGTATACAATACTCTACATTAATTGAAAATTAAATTAAAAGAAGGTGAATTCAGTCAGCGAAAGTTAGTGCTCATATAAAACTGGTACTTTAGAAAAATGTAAGTACTGTGCGACAGTTCTGATTTGTTCTCATAAATAAGTGTAAATTAAAAATAACCTAGACTATTTCTTTAATTTGGAATAAAAATATTTGAATATTTTTTTGGGATAAGAATAAATATAATTCATAATCCATATTTAAAGTATTCACTTCCACAGATACAAAATACTTAACAGTGAAACATTCAAAAGCAGAATAAGCACTTTCTTCAGGTGGAGCCTAAGAAAACCTGGTAAATAGATACTTTGATAAAAAATTAATTTGGTTCTCTTATACTGGTTATAAGTATTCTTCATAAACATGTAGGTAATTTAATTTGTTTGATTTTTATAAAGATTAAAATCAGAAAGCAGAGCTGACCAGGATTATGCTGAAATATGGTAGTGCCCACGATCGAGATAATGATAAATTAAATGAGACTCTTTCAAAAATTAAATCACTTATTTTGAATACTGCGTCTATATTTCCTTTACGTATCACTTAGACATGAGCACCTACGCTGAATGACTACCTTATTAACCTTAATCTTATTAAACCACCTGTTTTTTACATGCGCTGACATTTTAATACGGCCTGTAACCATCGCCAATTTATCTTAAAATTTTATCAAACCCTACAAAATAATTTGTATGGTCCATGATTGTTAAATTTTAAATATTTTATCTATAATTAAAAAAAATAGTCCTAGCTTAATTGAGAAGACCTTGTGAGGTTTGATTAAACCTCACATGGTTATAAGATGAACGGTGCAAATGTACATGTTTAACCTTATAGCTTGATATTCTATCAGGTATTTCCAAATAATTATTATGCACATTTTAACGGGAGAAAAAGCACACATTGAACCTTATTTATTAATTGTTCTATCAGATCTTCTCAATTAGGAGGCTTATGTATTTTTCACAGCTATTATCTACGTTTATTTTTCCTATAGCGTTTCATATTTTCATCACTAGCAGCGCTGGAGCTACTGAGAATATACATGTGGATTTATTAAGCTGCAACACCAGAATATAATGGAAACGTTAAACATAACGTAAACTGGCTTCAATTGTGAGGTCAAAGTTGATGGTTCATCTATTAAGTACATAAGTGCTCTTATGTTTCAGCTTAATGAGCTATATGTCTTCTATGTTTTATGTAAGAGATTTTCTTTGATAGTACAAACAATGTAAGGCTGGATACGATAGTGGATATTGGCTGTATATTATGAGGTTTACATAAATAATTTTTAGCATTAAGAATAGTTTGTATTCAAAAAATAATTACCAGTTGAACAGTTAAATAAACTACATAAATAAGTTCCTTACTCAAAACCAGAAGGGCGTAAGAAGAATTTTTAAAGGTAAATGAAATTTTTTGCATCAACTGTAAAATTACTGCAACTTTACGAAATAATTTGATATTTTTATATCAGCTCTTTGAGGTTATATAGCCAACTAATACGAATTTTAAATAATAATTTATGAAAAATAAATGTTTAGTTCGATAACATTTATAATCAGTAATTGAGATCAGTAATTAAGAACACAATTTTTTTTCTTTTTCTAAAAACTCCTGTAGCTTCTGTAATTTTGACTATTTCACATTAGGAACATTATTTCACGATACTGTAACCCTTTACCTTACATAGTGACTCACAGAACTAGTTTTTTTTACACCTAAATAACCCATTAGAAAAGTATGACTTTATTCATAAAGTAGTAAAAAATATTTATGATACTGTGCAAAAATATGAAGATTAAAAGTAAATACTTACGGCATTGGCCCAGAATTTAGTGATCGGGGCCGTGTAAAACTCATACAGTTTCTTTTTCAACTTTAGTGGCTTGCTGTTTTTATTGTCATAGTAATCAGATAGAATGCCATAAGCTCGATGATTACTATCGTCGTTATCAGTGAGTACCTTGCCATTTTCGTGTACAATTGTCTCTTTTGGTATGGTACTGCCGTGGTCGTTGCCAATCAATGCCTGGGGTCCCAATGAGCAACAAAAAAATAAATTATGGTATACAATATACTACACCAATTGACCATTAAGCAAGTACACATAATTTTTCACATTTGTTACACAAAGATAATACTAATTGGTTCTTATGATCTTTCACCGTTTTAAGGATTATTTCAAAAGTTATCCGTTGTTTCATTATGTACTTAAACAAGTAATGAAAAAACGTGAATTGTTATTTACGTTTATAAAATTTAGAAGATTATGGACTGTTTTTTCAGACATAAAAAGGTGTCTATAATTTTATTACCTCCCATATCTTGAACGGTTTTTTTTGGAACTTAATTACAATTTTTATCTCAAAAATTTCAAATTTGAAGAGTAATCTACATTTGTTATAAGATGAAAATAATTTTTGAGTTTAAGATAATTCCTATAATAATATAAAAAAGCAAATGTACAAAACTTGAATAATATTAGATGTGCTAGTACTACTTAAAGGTCGAAAGGTTTTCCCTAAATATTTATGAATGAATCTGAGATGCTCTAGCTTGCTATAAAATTTTTCTGAAAAGTAGTTTTCGTTAGTTTAGTGAAACGTCGTGAATTTATTTTTTAATATACAAAGAAAATCATTTAATCTTAAACGATTAACAAGGTTAGTTCGGGAGTCCAGGTGGAATTTCAAATTTCAGCTTATATTGCTGTCAATTCAATAGAACAATTTAGAAGATGCGTGCTTAGAAATTTTTTTGATAACTTGTTTATTATTAATCATAACTGATACTGTAATACGTATGGGCTCATTTTTTTTGCGTTTAATGCTGTAAAAAAAATATAGAAATTCGAGAATAATCATAAAAATTATTATTGTTTCAGACCGTTAAAGAATTATGTTAATTGTTTTTGATTTCTCTAAAACTTTCTCAGTGTCCATAAAAATTAAAAAAAAAAATTTGCTTCTAATTTTTTAATAACCGAATTAAGGGTCTACGGATAGTAAGATTATTTGTTGTCAATTGAGTACTTTCTTAATTCTTATAAAACCTTACAAGCACTTTGTTATACATTTTATATATTCGTTGGTAAAAGTGTTGACATAATAATAAAACTTAGAAGACGATTTTTTGTAACACTTCTACAAAAAGTATTTGGAAAAAAATTAGCATGCATATTTTGCTAACGCCAGAAATGAACCTATGTATTTTTGAATTTTTAACGTAAAACGCTTACAAAAGTTAAAGTGCCGTAATTATTTGTTAGCTTCAACAATTATTTGAATGTAAAATATAAAAAAAAACTTAATCATTTCATAAAATGTATTTTTAGTGGTATATCCTAATTCTGATGTAAATATTAAGTAGTGCGAGTTTACGTTCAAAACCATTCTGGTTACAAATCATCTTGACATAACATTTGGTAGAGGCGACTCTAGAGGCTAGAGGCGAATTCTATTTTTCCTACCTCGGGCGTTTTTGGGAAGCTTGTGTGCCCTTGGTAGGAAAAATAGCATTTACCACATAAGCGCCATCGCTCCACGGCTATCTTACGTCCCACGGGCCCTGCTTCGCAGATCCCTCGTGCCACAAAATAGCACCGGAGACGACGGCACTTATCCGAAGAAAACTACTATTTTTGTGGGAGTCTCATTTACTTCAAAGTCAATTTTCGGATAGTAGTGATAAGTCCCAATTCAGCCGCCAATGGTACTTTAACGAGGCAACTATTGACTCTGTATCCATTGGGCCTGAAGACGGCAGGTATAAATTTTGTGCCTCTGGCAAATTTTTATGTACCGATGTAACTTGTCATGGTGATACTACATCGCCAAAATACTGTAGATCTCTCCGAATCATAAAGTTTCTTAAATTTTGTGATACTGGTGGCAGGTATTAATTTTTTGCCTCTTATGTACCCAGCTCTTGGTCTACAGTCAAACAAGAGTTCATTATACTCATTTCATTAATTGCGTAGGGATACAACTACCTTAAGCAAGTGCTGTAAATAAATACTTACCTTGTTTGTAATCATAATTTATTTTTACCACACTAAAAAATTCGTGATTTTTAATTGTTCAAAAATTATAAGCTACCATAACTTACACAAAAATCTTTATGAATGTATTTGTATAATCGTTTATTTAAATTGTATTAAACATGTTTAACCTTATAGCTTGATATTCTATCAGGTATTTCCAAATAATTATTATGCACATTTTAACGGGAGAAAAAGCACACATTGAACCTTATTTATTAATTGTTCTATCAGATCTTCTCAATTAGGAGGCTTATGTATTTTTCACAGCTATTATCTACGTTTATTTTTCCTATAGCGTTTCATATTTTCATCACTAGCAGCGCTGGAGCTACTGAGAATATACATGTGGATTTATTAAGCTGCAACACCAGAATATAATGGAAACGTTAAACATAACGTAAACTGGCTTCAATTGTGAGGTCAAAGTTGATGGTTCATCTATTAAGTACATAAGTGCTCTTATGTTTCAGCTTAATGAGCTATATGTCTTCTATGTTTTATGTAAGAGATTTTCTTTGATAGTACAAACAATGTAAGGCTGGATACGATAGTGGATATTGGCTGTATATTATGAGGTTTACATAAATAATTTTTAGCATTAAGAATAGTTTGTATTCAAAAAATAATTACCAGTTGAACAGTTAAATAAACTACATAAATAAGTTCCTTACTCAAAACCAGAAGGGCGTAAGAAGAATTTTTAAAGGTAAATGAAATTTTTTGCATCAACTGTAAAATTACTGCAACTTTACGAAATAATTTGATATTTTTATATCAGCTCTTTGAGGTTATATAGCCAACTAATACGAATTTTAAATAATAATTTATGAAAAATAAATGTTTAGTTCGATAACATTTATAATCAGTAATTGAGATCAGTAATTAAGAACACAATTTTTTTTCTTTTTCTAAAAACTCCTGTAGCTTCTGTAATTTTGACTATTTCACATTAGGAACATTATTTCACGATACTGTAACCCTTTACCTTACATAGTGACTCACAGAACTAGTTTTTTTTACACCTAAATAACCCATTAGAAAAGTATGACTTTATTCATAAAGTAGTAAAAAATATTTATGATACTGTGCAAAAATATGAAGATTAAAAGTAAATACTTACGGCATTGGCCCAGAATTTAGTGATCGGGGCCGTGTAAAACTCATACAGTTTCTTTTTCAACTTTAGTGGCTTGCTGTTTTTATTGTCATAGTAATCAGATAGAATGCCATAAGCTCGATGATTACTATCGTCGTTATCAGTGAGTACCTTGCCATTTTCGTGTACAATTGTCTCTTTTGGTATGGTACTGCCGTGGTCGTTGCCAATCAATGCCTGGGGTCCCAATGAGCAACAAAAAAATAAATTATGGTATACAATATACTACACCAATTGACCATTAAGCAAGTACACATAATTTTTCACATTTGTTACACAAAGATAATACTAATTGGTTCTTATGATCTTTCACCGTTTTAAGGATTATTTCAAAAGTTATCCGTTGTTTCATTATGTACTTAAACAAGTAATGAAAAAACGTGAATTGTTATTTACGTTTATAAAATTTAGAAGATTATGGACTGTTTTTTCAGACATAAAAAGGTGTCTATAATTTTATTACCTCCCATATCTTGAACGGTTTTTTTTGGAACTTAATTACAATTTTTATCTCAAAAATTTCAAATTTGAAGAGTAATCTACATTTGTTATAAGATGAAAATAATTTTTGAGTTTAAGATAATTCCTATAATAATATAAAAAAGCAAATG